TGAGGAATAATGGCTCTTGTGCCAGAGGGGGTTTTTGCAGAAAGCCATCTACACTACTCCTTTTTGCACAAAAGCCTCATGCCCAAATGGCCCCTAATTATGCAAATGAAGCATGCCAATTGCTAATCTGTGCTTTATTTGCATATGCTTTGTGGAAAAGAGGTGCAGTATAGACATAACCCTAGTGTGGTTCATTGTCCCATGTAGTGGTACTTAGACCACTTACAGACAGAGATAAGAACAAGGGAGGTCTATAGCTTAAGCTGTGAGCTAGCTGGCTTTATAGTTCAAGCTATAGAAGCTCTTATACTAAGATCCAGAGGTCCCAGGTTCAAATCTGCCTGATTTCATTAGAACTATGCCAATTTACACCTCCTGAGCATAATCTATCCAAATCTTTAAGTGATTTCACCACTGCAGCACCTGAGTTCATCCTACAGAGAATTAAAAACCCACAAGCCAAAGACTTATTTTCCTTTCCCCTCCCCTCTCCTGCCACCAGAATGGTAATTGTAAAGCGTTTATTTTCAGAGGCAACAGGGCAAAGTAATAAACTTTATTGGACCAGCTTCTATTGGTGAGTCAGGCTGACACAGATCTTCTCAGGTCTGGGAAATTTTTAGAATGTTATTTTTAATGAACATAATTAAAAAGTGATCTTTTTTCCCCGTCTTCTGCCTCTCCCCCCCCCCCCCCCCCGCCCGCCAGCGGCCCCACCACACAAGTATGTCAGCAGTATCATGGCTATATCTACACTAGGACATTATTTCAAAAAAATTTGAAATAACTCCCAAAATAACTATTTTGAAATAACTGTTGTTCTCATGACATGCAGAAGTTCTTATTTTAGAAAAAAATAGGCTTGGTAGTGTGGACGCGCCACTTGTTATTTTGAAATAACTCCCTAGTGTAGACCTAGGCTAGGGGATTCCTGTCACAAGGAAGGATTACTTATGGGAGTAAAAGTTTGCAGGGTCAAACCCATTAAGGTGAAGAATTCACCAATATCCTGGATTTATGGTCACTCACAGCCACTGTGTAAATTATTGAAATGCATGGAAGAAGAATGGCTTGTTTTCTAACTAGTTGGAATGTTACTCCTAGTATCTCTAGATAACATTTTTCCTCCAGCGTGTTCTTTATTTAGAACCTATTCATCGTGAGAGGATTCAGACCTTTCTCTCAGTCAGCATGAAGAGTAGAAGGTCATCTCTGGGCTGTTACAATTTGTTTCAGCCTCAAGCACGCTGCTTATCCACTTTCCAAAAGAAGTGATCATTCACTACTTAGAACAGCGGTCATGACTCATGGGAGGAGCCCCTCCCCCCCATCAATGGGGTAACTCAAAAGAGTAATACGGGAGGAGCGCCCCCCCCATCAATGGGGTAACTCAAAAGAGTAATAGCTGCAGGACCAAGCCCGCAGTGCAGAAATGCAGAGGCATTTTTTAACCCAATTAGCCATGCCTTGCACCTTGTGGTGTCATTTGCACCAGTGCAAGGAAGGTGCAAAATTCGCACCATGCTGATTGACAGGCCAGTTTTGCATTCTGTTTAAATCCGTACACAGCAGGTTCAAAATGTGGTCTGGTCAGAATTCTTATCCCCCCTCTATTGCTGCAACTCCACTGATCTCCATGAACGGACGTTTGACTCACACCTGTGGAGGTGTCACCTATCCAGCCTGCCTTCAGGCCATCTGCTGCCTCAGTTTCCCTTCACTAAGGTTGGATTGCCCAACTTGCCCAGGAAGGACTTACTGCCACGCTCAAGGAGGGATGTAAAAGGTTAACCAGCAGGGGATGGAGAAGCTCTTTGCCAGCCAGGGGCTGCTCCAGCCCCCTGGGGCCTGCCACATCCCTGCTTGTGATGTGCCCAGGCCTGCCATGGACACAACTGGCTGGAGCGGCTCCCCCAGCCACCTCCCCCTTTAATTGGTTAACCAGCTAACCAAATAAATGGGATTTTACATCCCTACTTCAACTCTCTTTCCTACACAGGCAACTACCAAGCACACACAGTCCCTCTACCCATCCTACCGCTCCTAGAGGCTTCCCCAGTGCAGGAACGAAGACTCACCCTTTCCTTCAGGCCCACCATGGCTCTCCTTAGAGTTGCCTCTCTCCTAGAGATCAGCTTCCTCCTGCCCAGCAGGGCCTAATAACTGAGCCGGGCTAGCCAGCTCCCCAGCCCTTGGCATAAGAGGAGCCATCAGGTGTCTCCCTCAGGTGGCACAGATGTAAACGCTGACAGGGCTGTGGAGAATTAGGCCCCATCTGCAGGGCATCAATGGATGGGAGCCATTGCTCTTTGGTAGTCATGGGAACTGAATAGCCCCTTGGATAGTCCATGGGAGGCTCAGCTGTGCTCCTGGTTTGTGACCTCAGACCAGGCCTTCCCGGCCGCGCTCTGAGCTGCCCACACTTGGCCTTTGTATGAAATCCACCCGGTGCCAACGGTTATTTTTTTGTATATATATTTTGATACTGTTTTCCCAATGTGTGCATTGTACTTTGGAATAAAAAGCTTAAGGTCTGTACTAGAAATAGGCCTCCCTGGGGTTTATTTTTTAAAATCTCCGCTGTGTCCCGGGTTCCTGTATTTGGCCCAAGCGCCCTGGGCCAGCGTAGCTCTGGAGAGTCAGGATCCCTTCCGTAGGGTCCGGTTCCAGGAAGCAGCAGTTGCATGGAGTAGCTTCTCCATGCGAGGGAGGAAGGCGAGCCCGCAGCATGACTCAGCCCTCCGAAATGGGAGTGGATCGGGTGGGTTAAGGGTCATGGCTGCGGGCCAACCCCTGATGCACAGCTAATAGCACGGAAAGGCTGCACAGATAGGACCTGATGGGAGTCTCCCCAGAGCTCAGTGGAGTTTGGATCCGGCTCCAGAGAGCTCATGCTGTATCCTTCAGATGTCACGGATGCGTCTCTCCGCCTAAGTGCTCTTCACTCTGCCTTTCATAGGGAAAATGCCTTCATCAGCAGAGTGCTTCGGTGGCCTATTTCCAGAAACCAGGGCTGGGGCTCTCAAAGCCCAGGGGTGAGGAACCTTTTTTGGTTGGGGGGGCCATGGACCCACAGAAAAATCAGTTGGGGGCTGTGCAAAAATCCCACCTCACTGATGTGGCCTCCAACTGAGAAGCAAAAAGACACTCCCCGCATTCCTCTTGCACACCAGGCTAGTAGATTTTCTGGGCAGCCCCCAGGCTCTTCGGGGGGGCCAAAACTGAGGGGTTCAATGTGTGGGAGATGGCTGCTAGGGAGCAGATGTGGGGTCTGGGGGGGAGGGTGCAGGAGCCGACTGGGGATGGAGGGTAGGAGGTAGGGCGCAGAAGCAGAGGGGGATGCAGGAGAGTCTGGGGGGAGGTAGGATGCAGGAGTGGAAGGGGGTGCAGGAATGGGATGGAGATGCAGGTTCTAGGCAGGAGAGAGCAGCAGTGGGCTGGGCAGGAGAGGGGTGCTTACCTGTTGCAGCTGCCCATCGACACACATGGCTCCATGTCCCTGCCACTCCCAGGTACTGCCCTCTGCTGCGCCTATGGGTGGTGATTTTGGACAATCAGACCAGCGGGGGAAAGCCTCCTCTGCCATTTCCCCAACGGGGGCGGGGGAGAGAGAGGAGGGGAAGCAGCAGCCTGCAGAATTGCTTCCTCCCCTCCCCGCCAGGCAGAGGCCATGGGTTGGATCCAGCCCCAAGCTTGTCTGACTCTGGTCTGTGAGGTTTGCACCCTCCCCAATTCCAACCCCACAGTGGAAGGCTACGTCTACACTGGCATGATTTTCCGGAAATGCTTTTAACGGAAAAGTTTTCCGTTAAAAGCATTTTCGGAAAAGCGCGTCTAGATTGGCAGGACGCTTTTCCGGAAAAGCACTTTTTGCAGAAAAGCATCCGTGGCCAATCTAGACATGCTTTTCCGCAAAAAAAGCCCCGATCGTCATTTTCTGGAAAAAGACTTTTGCCCAAACAGGAGCAGCATAGTTTTTCCGGAAAAGCACTGATGATTTTACGTGAGATCGTCATTGCTTTTCCGGAAATTCAAGGGGCCAGTGTAGACAGCTGGCAAGTTATTCCGGAAAAGCGGCTGATTTTCCGGAATAACTTGCCAGTATAGACACAGCCGAAGAGTGTGGGGAGGAGGGAGGAACTGCAGTGCTTCTGTGTGGCTTATCAGTTAATCGTTTAAATAACTCTACACTAACGTCCCAACTCACTACAGAGCAGAAGGAAGGGTGGCAAGACCATATCGTTCCAGTTTTCCTTCTGTGCTTCTGCTGGCAGTGGTACCTACCTCAGAAGGCAGCCCCACCGCTAGCAGCAGTGCACAAGGAAAGGTGGCAACACCTCACCATCCCAGCCTTCCTTCTGCGTTGTTGCTGGCAGCGTTGTAGACGTCCGAGCTGGGTTTCCTGC